TCTGGACACCCCGCGCAGGACCAGGAACACACACACACACACCCACCCACACTCACTCACACTCTCTCATCATCAACCTCATCAGCATCATCGATGATGTTCTCCCACATGCTTAGTCACTCACATACTCATCATCATCACCACTCGCACTCTCTCACACGCTCACGAATATCATCATCATCATCATCATCATCGGCATCGGCATCATCCTCATTCAAACATCATCATCGCCACCACCACTCACAATCAATCATCATCCTCTTCACCACTCATCTTCACCACCATTCATCATCCTCATCCTCATCATCGTTGATGGTAACGTGAGGACGTCCAGGGCGGGAGCCCCCTTCCTATGGGGCCCGCATATCATGTTGGTAATCCGAGCGGGTCATTGGAACCTTGTAACTGTCGTCACTTTTGGGCTCGTCAAGCCTGAATTTGGAGGAAGTCTCAGGCGGGAGCCTCGTCTGTGAGTGAATTCTGAGGAAGGTTCAGGCGGGAGCCCCCTCCCTATGGGGCCCGCAGATCATGTTGGTAATCCGAGCGGGTCATCGGAACCCTGTAACTGTCGTCACTTTTGGGCTCCTCAAGCCTGAATTTGGAGGAAGTCTCAGGCGGGAGCCTCGTCTGTGAGTGAACTCTGAGGAAGGCTCAGGCGGGAGCCCCCTCCCTATGGGGCCCGCAGATCATGTTGGTAATCCGTGCGGGTCATCGGAACACTGTAACTGCCGTCACTTTTGGGCTCCTCAAGCCTGAATTTGGAGGAAGTCTCAGGCGGGAACCTCGTCTGTGACTGAACCCTGAGGAAGGCTCAGGCGGGAGCCCCCTCCCTATGGGGCCCGCAGATCATGTTGGTAATCCGTGCGGGTCATCGGAACCCTGTAACTGTCGTCACTTTTGGGCTCCTCAAACCTGAATATGGAGGAAGTCTCAGGCGGGAGCCTCGTCTGTGAGTGAACTGCGAGGAAGTCTCAGGCGGGAGCCCCCTCCCTATGGGGCCCGCAGATCATGTTGGTAATCCGAGCGGGTCATCCAAAACCTGTAACTGTCGTCAATTTTGGGTTCTCGCGCTGCCAGATCCCAGGCCACATTTTGGACGCAACAAGGAAGTTTTTGGGCTCCTCAGGTCGCCGAGGTGCTGCGACAGGGCGCCGAAGGCGCCGACGACGACGGCCAGGCCGAGGCGCGGGCGCGGAGCTTGCTGATGTTCAGGCCCAGCGAAGGGGAGTTCACATGGCAGAGCTCGGGGGCGCACAGCGTGCGCCGCTCGGGGTTCACCCTGACGCACGCGTCCTACCTGACCTCCACGCTGTCGCAGGGCCAGACGCTGCGCAAGGGTGTCACCATCGACTGCGCGAGAGACGAGGACGCTGGCCGCACGGGCATGTCGGACGAGCAGTGGTGGCTGCACCTCTACGTCATGTTCTCCCGCGCCACGTGAATGCGGAACATGCTGATCCTGCGGCCGCCGCCGCGAGAGTTCCTGGAGTGCGGGCCGCCGGCGTCCCTGCGGAAGGCGCTCCTGGAGTTCGACAAGAGAACGGTTTTGTCCAGGGCGGAGGCGAAGCAGCTCGCGGCAGAGATGGGCTTCGTGCTGCCTTCCGCCTGAGCGCGGCTGCGCCTCGCTCGAAGCCCGCGGGGTTGTCCCAACGGCTTGGTCTTGCGCGCCAACGGCTCGCGGGGTTGTCCCGACAGCCTGGACCGCGGGGTTGTCCCAACGGCTGCGCGACGTGACCTGTAGAGAACGCGCCTGTGCTGGCCGTGGCGGCGACGGCGCCGAGGAACATCGACATGCGCGCTCATGCAACAGGAAGGGGAGTAGGTGGCGGGGCGCGGAACAAACAGGGGGGCGAGGATGGGGACAACGTAAGGAGTGGAAGGGGGGCCCGCGCCAAGGCGATGAGGAAATATCCGCACGCCCCCCCCAAAGAAAAAAAAAAAATTCCAAAAGGAAAAAAAACAAAAAAAAAAAAAAAAAAACAAAAAAAAAAAAAAAAAAAAACCCCCAAGCCCCCAAAAAAAAGAAAAAAAAAAAAAAAAAAGAAGAAGAGACAGCCAGGACGCCTCACCAACCACGAGGACGACGGTGATGGCTTTTTCCAGATTCGCCCACAGGATTCTTATGTGGGGTTCTTCCGTCGGAGTAATGATACGAACATTCGTGCTGACAACATGAACTTGTTGGGGAAAATATCATTGTGAATAAAACTAGATCCTAGTATTCATAACACCTGCAATGTTAGTAGTAGTAGTAGTAGTAGTAGTAGTAGTAGTAGTAGTAGTAGTAGTAGTAGTAGTAGTAGTAGTAGTAGTAGTAGTGGTAGTAGTAGTAGTAGTCGTAGTAGTAGTAGTAGTAGCAGTAGTAGTAGTAGTAGTAGTGGTGGCAGTGTTACCTAGGCCAGTAGCAGTAAAACTGTTATGAGTATCCATTAAGATTAGGCGTACTACTATTACTAGCATCAGTATTACAAGTACGAGCCTTACGATTACGAGTGTTGATAGTAGCAGCAGTAGTCGTAGTAATAATAGCAGTAGTAGCAGTAGCAGGAGCGGTAGTAGCAATAGTATGAAAGAAATAATACGGATACTGGAATACGAATAATATTATTACAGAGTGAAATACTACGACGACAACGACGACGACGACTACTACTACTACTACCACTACCACTACTACTACTACTACTACTACTATTACTACTACTACTACTCCTACTACTACTACTATGACTACTACTACTACTACTACGACTACTACTACTACTACTACTACTACGACTACGACTACTACTACTACTACTACTACTACGACGAGTACTACTACTATTACTACTACTAGTACTACTACTACTACTACTACTACTACTACTACGACTACGACTACTACTACTACTACTACTACTACTACTACTACTACTACTACTACTACTACTATATACTACTACTATTACTACCACTACTACTACTACTACGACTACTACGACTACTACGACTACTACTACTACTACTACTACTACTACTACTACTACTACTACTACTACTACTACTACTACTACTACTACTACTACTACTACTACTACTACTACTAATTCTACTCCTACGACGACTACCATACTACTACTACTACTACTACTACTAAGACTACTACTATGCTGCTGCTACTACTACTCTACTTACTACTAAATACTACTACTACTACTTACTCTTTTAACCAGTACTACGACTACTACTACACTACTAATTTACTACGTACTACGATGTCAAGGGCTGTGTTGGGAATACCGGTGGGATCGCGCTAGGCTCAATCTCTGCTAGTGTTAGGGCGATTGCTAGTGCTACGTCTTATGTCTATATATCAATATAAATATATTTATTGATGACGATTAATAATTGATATGACGATTACCCAGATTAAGTTAACTGCTACATTCGGTGGGGAACATTTGTGCTACCACATGCCACTCGTCCTGGCGAAGCAGAGACGCAACGGACAGCCTGGCGACAGAGCGCTGAGGGGGGCAGAAGGGACGGAGGGAACCGAAGAAAGGCGATGGAGCCCAGGGTCCCCCCGTTTAAACAGGTTCATTCTTTGACCTGTGCCACCAAGTCATTACGCCCACAACCTTCCCGTGCACGCACTGACAAGTTAACTGCTACATTCGGTGGGGAACAGATTTGCTAACACATGCGACTCGTCTCGGCGAAGCAGAGACGCAACAGACAGCCCAAGATCCCAACGGGTTTACTGGGAAGGCGTGGCGGGCTAAAAGATGGCGGCCGCTTCAAGGCCCATGTGGCGGCTCAGTAAACAGTTGACGATACAGTCAGCTAATTCTGTCGGGCAAGATGCTGCAAGAGATGTCCACGTGGCCCCCGATGGGGGCCTTGCCCCCCAGGGTAACGCGAGGCTTTCCTGAGGCCGAACAGACACCTCCAAAACTGTGACAACGCCGTTCCAGCATTAAAATATTTTGAGGGGTCAACGCTGGAGAACAAAGACGAGTCCGCTACCTCTAGCGGACCCCGAACTGGCACTGATCACATATACGAGAATGCAACCCACGCTGGTCGCACAAGGCTTGGAGCTCCGAGGCGTGCCACACGCGACTGCTAATCGGACGCTCGAAACAGAACGGCACATCGGATCGCACGAGCGCTTTCATTGTCTGTAAAGCTGCTGCGAAGGTCGAGCTTCCTTGCGCAATCCTACGTTTAGCGTAGTCCGAGGCGTCTGGTATGCCCCAAGGAAAATCTCTTGAGCGACCGGGCTGGCGGCCCCTATCTGTGGCCATACCCCAAGACGCGCAGGGAGGCCCAAGGCATGCTGCAATGACTTCTTTACGGCCTATGGCGGCGCGAACTCGGGCAAGAACGACAGGCCTGGTGAGATCCTCTTGGGGCCCGTTGAGGCTGTCGATACCATGATACTTGAAACCGCGCCTTAACGCTGCCTTGCCAACCGAATCTGAGCCCGAGAAAAGGTCCAGGACATACTTACGCTAGCGGCCATGCCGCCTCACAGGGCAATCACCTCGGCACCTTTTCCGATTAGTATGTCCTCGAGACGTTGTTCGCACTCTCTCAGCGCGTCTTGCAGCTGAGGCGGGAGGAACGACCAGCTTGACCCAACCGCGCCGCTTTCTCGCACCGCTGCATCGACTTGGCATGCTTCCACTGGCCTCTCTTTTGGATACGTCGACTTGGCATGCTTAAACTTGGCGCTGCTTCGACTTGGCATGCTTCCAGAAGAGAAGGTTTTGGCATCCCCTGGCATTGTCTATGCTTGGGCCCGAATGGCGAGCCTGGCATGGCACCATGTGCTCCCGCACCTGCAGGTCTGACAAAGCTTTCCTGAACATGGCCAGGAATTGCGGGCAGCTGAACTCCCAAACCTTCTCTTCTGGACCCCCTCGGGCGAGCTCTCGGAAGATGGGCGTGGCACACTGAACCCAACCGCTGTCTAGCATCACCCCGACGTCGGCCAAGCCCGTCTTGCTCCGTTAAGGCTCGTTGTCCGGGAAGAGAAGCAGGGACCACCAGCGGCGCGCCCCAGGTGCCGGCGGAATAACGCCGCCGCGCGTCAGGGTGAGCAGGTGGCTGGGCCTGAAATAGCCCGAGACCATCGCGAGCAAGAACACGGCCATCTGCAACGCATTCCTCGCCACCATGCGCCAGGCGAGCCCGCGCCAGAGGGCCAGCGGCCATGCACGGCGGCTCCGCCCAGGCGCCAGCTTGCGCCAGCCCCGGAGGCATCTCCAGGCTCGAGGCGTTTTGGCCTCCCCTTGCTTCGAAGACTCCGGGAACCTGAACATGAGGCCTGCCATGACCTGACCCCCCTTCGCCGACTCGTGGCCTTCGAAGAACAGGTGGTTCATGCAATCGACCACTGCCTCGTCCATTTCGCCGGCCGACGTCAGAGCCCGTCTCGGCTGGCGGTCGCAGAAGCCCAGGAAGGCCTCGAGCTCCTGGGTGTAGCGGCTCCGCGCGGGTGCAAACACCGACCGCCTTTCCAAGAACGTCTGTCCCTCCCCCGCTGCGCTGCCCAGCAGCGCCTCGGCCCCGCACGCCCGTCTCCGCCGAGTGGCCCTCTTGAGCAGCTCTCTCTCCCGCCGCTCGAATGCTGGCACGACCTGCTGCTCGTCGGAGGCGCTGCTGCCGTCGTCGCGGTCGGCCACGACCTGGCGCGGCCAGTCCTGGGGGAGAACTTGGAGCCCCTGGTCGCGCACGGGGAGCTTCGGCGTCGGCGGCAGCGAGACCAGGCCCAGGCGGGATAGCCAGTCCAGCGACCTCTGCTCCGCAGTGAGTCTGGACAGGCGGCGAGGGCCCTGCGGGGGCCTGCGGCCCACCGCCTGAAGCACCAGTTGCCGCGGTGGCGGCGAGCCAGACGCGGCAGCGCTCGGCCATTCCAGCAAGCGCGGCCGCCTGGCTGGAGCCCCTGGCCGGGGCGTCGGAGCCCCCCGACGGACGCCGCGCCGCAGCATGCAAGAGCGAAGGCCCACTGGTTGGACGGGCCTGAGAACAGGTTTGGGCCGAAATGGGGCACAAGGACGTCGGACCGCACCCCACAGGGATGCTTGGTGGCCCTTCAGATCTACAAGGCCAACATGGGCCAACGCACTGAGCGCTCTCGGGGCCAAAGGTTGGCTGGGGTTCTACTGAGCTCTTGAAAGGAGCAACTTGGAAGCGAGCGCGAAACTCGGGGGGGGCCTTCAAACCTGGACTCCATGGAGGGGAAGACATCGGGGAGCAGTGCACCAAAGGACTCTTACGGCCCCTTCTTGTCAAAACTCGAGGCCCATAATCCGCTGGGGTCAATTCAGACGGAACCCATCTCACAGACACTTCCATACTCCTCGCGAGACAATAGGCATGAAACCTGCGAACCTGGACGAGAAGAGCAAACTCTTTTGCACGACTCCTATTAAAAGATAACACCACTGACATGTTATCCGACAATATCAGCTGGCGACAGGCGGCGCCGAACACTGACTGGGCTACACGGCGGGCGCCCATCACCAGCGCACGGGCCTCTTTAACAAGGATGCCCCCATCGAAGCGCCAGCGCTGCACCTGCTTAGTCCGCCAGCGGGTGCTCGCCAGTCCGGCCGCGGGCACCTCGGGGAAGCTCGGGTCGAGCCCCCGCGCGCCAGCCAGCGAGTCGCCCTCGGCCGTCTCCGCCAGCCGCCACTTGCCACGCTCATCACGCCAGAAGCCGGCTGCCTCCAGCGCTGTCTCGCGGGCGCCGCGGCGGGCGGCGCGCGCGCCGTCCGCAGCCCCCTCGGCCCCCGCTGCCACGGGCTCGCGGAAGCCGGCGCGCTCCTGCACGCGGCCCACCTCGGCGACCTGGGAGCGCGGCCAGCGGGCGGTCGAGACCGCGCCTGCCTCGAGGCTGCTGTCGGTGGCCACCGCCAGGTCGTTCCACTGCAGCGCCCAGTCGCACTCCAGGAAGATCAGTAGGCCGCGGATAGTCTCCAGCTCCTGCCTCGCCTCTGGCCACAGAGCACGCGGCTCGGCGTTGGACTTCCGCGTGAAGGCGTACACGGTATGAAACACTCAAGGTCCCACGCGATAGCCAGCCTGCAAAGCCACAATGCCCCACCAGCACCTCAACCGCCCATCCAGCAAGGCGACGGGGGCGAAGCAAACCGTTGAGCGCCTGCCGAATCAGCCAGAAGCGCATCTGCGTGACCCTCGTCCTCCAGTGCGCCCCTGAGACCTCCGCGCCCAGCGCCTCGGCGTCGGTGCCCACCGAGTTACCGTGCAGGAGCAAGCCCTGATGGTCGAAACCCTCGACGAGCTGGGCAATCGCGTCGGAGACGAGGGGCTCATCGGTGGAGGCCACGCCCAGGTTGTCGACGTACACGCAGTGCGAGACGCGGCCCTCGGCCACGGTCGGGCCGACGACAGCTGCCCCCCCCCCCCGGTCAGTCAGCGGGTTCTCGAGCAACTGAGGACAGATGGCACGCGCCTGGTGCTCGATGATGCGCTGCGCCGCCCACAAGCTGGACTCACCAGGTCGCGCCTCTCCAGTGTCCTGCCTTCCCAGAGCTCGCCCTCGGCGCCGCGCAGGTACGCAGGTACCTCAGGAAGGCAGAAGTACTCAGAGAGCCATCCCGGGAGTCGCAACCTGTGGAAACAGTCCTTGACGTCGGCGAGCCCCAGGTGCAGGGAATAGCCACACAGGAGCCGGCGGGCCCCCTCACTCCAAGGGCCCAAGTCTTCAGGAAGAGCGATCTCTACCCGGCTGAGGCCCTCGGCATTGAGGAGGGCCACGCCAGGCGGCGACTCGAAGAGCAGGTTCCCGGGCCTGGCGTCCAGGATGAGCCGCAGCCTCTGGCCACCATCCTTCTCGACGAAGAAGAGGCCGACCTGGCAGCGAGGGCGCCTGGTCCAACCGATCAGGCCACGGCGATGCAGGTCGGCTATAAACTGCCTGCAGGTATTTGCGCTGCGCTTCAGCGGGGGGTCGAAATACGGCGTCACTGAGGAAGAGGGACTGTCTGAGCGTAGCACGCGCTCGGGGTGCCCCTTCAGGAAGCGCTGGACCTCGGGAGGGGCCACGTCCTCGAACGGCGGGCAGCCCTCCACTGTCTCGGACAGGGAGACGAAGCCCATCTTGAAGGGTGCGACACGGGCGAGGCACCCCGCCCCATCGTACGGCGCGCGCCCTCGCAGCAGCTGGCGAACGGCTATGCCTTCACTTGGAGCATCAGGACCCGGTTACCGCCTCGAGGCTAACTCACAGATCCGCCCCAAAACCTCGAGCTGCATCGCATCGGGCTCGAAATAGGACGGGCCACTTCGGAAGCCCGCCAGCCAGTTCAGAGCACCCACCGCCTCGTTTCCCATCTTGAACACAAGCCGCTCTCGCCGCCGAAGGGCCAGGCCCCGCGTGGAGCCGGCCGCGGGCAGCTCAGGCAGGCGCCAGCGCGGCAGCGGGAACAGCTCCCTGGCTCGGCGCGAGGCGGCAAGCCGACCGCGCGCAATCCCTGAATCCCGGCCAGGGACGGGGTTCCCCCCGGCCGTGGGGGCAGTCATTGCCCCTTGGGGGAGGGGTCGCCCCCCCCCCGCCCCCCTTCGGTCCCTTCGGCGGCGGGCGCCCTGGTCGGCCTTTGCCGTCGTCCTGGGGGCCGTCGCCGTCCACGCGCTGGGGTCCCTTGCCGAACGCCAACACCACCTGGGCGTCCTGCTGCTCCTTGATCTTGCGGGCGGCGAACTGCTGCAGCGCCTGGCCCGCGATGTCGTCCGACGAGGCGGCGCCCGTATAGAGACGAGCCCGACCCCACACAGGCTTGGCTGGGTCCGAATAGACCGCCACCAGCCCCGCGACCCTCCTCGCCGCTGTCTCCAAGCACATCAGGCCGCCCAAGTTCACCTGATCGCACACGGCGGCCCAGACGAGGATGTCACAGAGAACTCGCAGCTCGTGAGATACCCTGTCTCCGAGGCCCTTTGACCTCAAGAAGTCTCTCAACCAAGACCTGGGGTCGCCGTTGGTGCGCTCCATGCTCTTACACACCGTCAAAGCCGACGCGGTGCCCTCGATCGGCTGGCCCGGGAAGGCCTCTCGCGAGGACTCGCGGCATGCGGTCCTGAAGGGTTTGTACCTCTCCCCCTGAGCGTCGTAGTCCACCTCCAAAATGCAGAGGTCTCCACCGTCAGCACCCGCGCCCCTGGGCGGCGGGGCAGCTGTGCCACTCACCCTCTCGGGGCGCGGCCCACCCCCAGCACCCGCGGCCCGGCCCAGACGCTCGCGAAGGTCGACGGCACCTGCAGGTCCTGGCCCGTCACGCTCCGCCTCGGCGGCTGGGAAGTCGCTGTGGCCCATCTCCCTGCGCCGCCTCGCCGCATACCCTGGAAGATCCTCCGCCAGCAGCGCCTCCACACAGCGTGGGCCCTCCGCGAAGCCCTGCCAGCGCTGTCGCGGGAACGAACTGGGGGTCCGCCCGATCGACCGTGGTGCCGACTGCTGCGCTCTCCGTGGGCTCGGCCACGACCCAGACGCGATCGCCGTCCAGCGGGGCGAGCGACTGCTTGCCCCGCAGCCGAAGCGACGCTGGCCGCCTCACCTCGCCGAAGAACGTGGTCCACTCGATCAGCGCATCGCCAGGGCCCGCGACCTCAGCCGGCGTCTCGGGCGCGATGCCAGGGAGGCGCGCCTCCACCAGCGCACGTCCGCGTCTGATCGCCGCCCGCAGCTCCTCGGCCGTGAGGGCAGCCCTGAAGCGGTAGATCGGCCGTGGCCAGCCCTCGGGCGCTCCTCCACCGATCGGCATCAGCGCCGCTCCCTCAGGCCCTGTCTGAGGATCTGCCCCCGTGAAGTCCTCCTCGAACTCATCCCCGTCGGGGGTCCGTGCCGCCCACGTCCCAGGCGGCAAGCTCGGGTAGAGCAGCACTCGCTCATGGTCGACGGGGTCGTCGCTATATCTGACGACGAGACGCTGCCCGGGTCAAAGGCGCCTCCACCACTCCTGCTCCACGCCGTGCGGGAACAACGCCATCCCGCTCAGCACCCGCAGCCTGGGGGCTACGGCGACAGCAGCTCCGCGCCACACGGCAGGCCTCCAGAGCCAGCGCCACCAAGACGCCCGGGGCCGCCGCCAGAAGAGTGCCGAGGGGGTCCGCGCTCTCCTTCGAGGCCGGCTCCGCGGCCGCGCAGACAGCAGGAGCCGCTTCACACGGCGGCGCCTCTGGGCACGGAGGGCAGACGTCCGCGCCGTGTGGCGGCAGCCACGCGGGCGGGCACACGGCCTCCAGCGCGCAGGGAAGCAAACCAGGCGATGGCGGCGCTTCTGGCAGGAAGTGCGCGGAGAGATGCAAGAGCACCAGCGTGAGGACAGCCCAGTGTCCCGCAGGGACCTGGGCCATCTCGAACCGAAGAAAGGCTATGGAGTCCAGGGGTCCCCCGTTTAAACAGGTTCATTATTTGACCTGTGCTATCAAGTCATTACGCTCACAACCTTCCCGTGCACGCACTGACATGATTCGTATGCTTGATAATGTGTCTTCGTTATATGTTGATCCATAACATGTACTAAATATTACCCATACCCTTACCGAAGAATTCGCCGTGTTAGTAGTGCGCGTATTCTTCTTAAGTTTTCAATTACTATCGTTCGCCTTGGTAGTATTAGTTTTCTCTCACTGCTAGTATCAGTGTTCTTGATGTGAGTTTTCTTCGCAGTATGGTTAATACTCTTCCTTTTTTAAGTTTAGCACTATTAGTATGACTATTATTCCCCCACGTGTTCCCCGAATGATTCCCACAAAGGCTGGGGGAAACACATACTCCGATGGTTCGGCCGAGCTCTGGCCGCAACTTTCGGCCACATAGGCGTTTCGAAAAAGCTGGTGGCGGTGATTCGCCGCAGTCGTCTTCGATGCCCCTGCCTTCTGAAAAGCCCCGCCGAATCTTCACAAGGCCGCCCCCCTCGCGCCACCCTTGCGGGCGCGCGCCAATCGACGCTGCGGGTCGGCCCGGTGACCATCTCGGACCCTCGGCGACCCCGCCCCAGGCCAGGGGATGGGAAGGAAAGCAGCTCTTGGGTAATCCTACTTACCCTCAAGGGCGTGAGTGGCTCAGCGGGTTTCCTCGTCCAACCCCGTTCTCCACATTCGGGGAGGGGTCGGACACGGTTCCGCATTGACAAATACCCCCTCCCCCACCCGACCGGCGACGCGCCAGAGGCACTGCCCCCCACAAACACATACACACACACACACACACACACACACACACACCCACAGCATCCGTAAAAATGACCCGAATCGTTCCCAGACCCGTCTCCATGCGAGGCGACGGCGCATTCGCGTGGACCCCCCGCGCATGCGAACACTTGCGGGACGTGCAGAGTTCGGGAAGGAGTCGCGAAACACGCCAGGAGGTCCAGGACGCCTCGGCGACGCCGGGCGGGCGACCTTCTTGCCAAGCCCGCGGCCGCAGGGACAGAGAAGGAACGAAGAAGGACCAGGCCAGGGGGGAGAAGAACAGGGGAAAAAAAAAGAAAAATAATAATCGCATAATAAAATGAGAAAAGAATAATAAGCATGGGACAGAAGAATAAGACGAATACTAACTGCACGAATACCTCCCCCTCCTCATCCTCCTCCATCTCCTCCTCCTAGGATCGGCCCTGCCAGGATCGATGAGGTGTACACGCAGGTGCCGTCCCCCGCCGGGCTCCCCACCGATGCCTCGCCGCCAGGCCGCTCCACGCAGCGCCCGCCGGGGGCCCGAGGCGGGCCTCCGCAGATCTGCGGCTGCCACAGAAGGGGGGGGGGCACTGCACGGTTCGGTGGTGGCACGAGGCGAGAGAAGACGACGACGACAACGACGAAGAAGAATAGGACGAGAACGAGGAGGACGAGGACGACGACGACGACGACGACGACGACGACGACGACGACGACGACGACGACGACGACGACGACGGCGGCGGCGCGAAGGCGGCGGCGAAGGCGGCGGGCGCCGTGACGGTGCAGTCATGGCTCTGCAGCACTGCCATCACCGACCTGCGGAGGCGACCCGCAGGGGCGCGCGGGGGCGAGCGGGGGCGCGTTGGGGCGGCGGGCGGTGTTGGAGTACCATGTGGGACCTGCTGTGGAACAGAAGCATACCGTAGACGGGTCTACTCTTTCTCCCACCCTGCACTGCGCAGAACGCAACGGCCGCGTTCTCCATAGACACATGCACACCGAATATGTCGATATACGTTATGGCACCCAATGCGTCGATAGATGCTTGTGGCTAGAAAATGAAAATGGTATTTACATTGATATTCTTGCAGCAAAGCAGGTGGACTTTGCCTTCAAAGGGCAGTGCGAAGTGGTATGGCCCCGACCATCCGACGTCTTGGAACAGATCTGAACCGAACTCTGTTCACCGTGTTCGACCTCTGGGAAGCGCCTTCGGGCTCCAGGAACGTCAGAGAACTACTCAGGATGAGAAGCCAGACTTCTGAAGATCCCGTGTTCGCCCAAAAAAGCACTGGCAGCAGAAGACGGCACATACTACAACGCACATACGGGAAACCATAAGAGCGAGAACGCGTAAGACCAAACGGGAGACCATACCCACACAAACATGCGGGACAACATGCGGGAAACCATGCCGGAAGACCATACGTAGGGAGCCCACAAAGGACGTACCCGCCCAGCTATGTACATGAACACGGCCCCTTGACCCGCGAGACCGGCCGCGTGATACGCACATTCGCGCAACGCGAACTTTCGAAAGCAGAGCGGATTCATGCACGCGGAAGTCCTTCTCTGGGATGCACAAAGACGTACTAGTACTATATGTCATCCTTGGACGCGCGCGTCCGACCCGAACATATAGTATACCCATATTGTAGTATATCGCTTCCCGAGCGGTGTGGCCAGAATGCGCCCGCCACAACGCATATACTATCAGATTCCTCGGTGCGCGCATCGCCCCCGGGGGGGGGCGACGCACGTATAGTATAAGTATGCTGGGGTGACGCCGATTCTCGGGAGACCCCACGGGAGACCCCACGGGACGAGCAGGCGGGAAGCCACACGGGAGAGCAG